GTTAAAAGTTATTTGTAAGTGAGAAATATTTATCAGCCTTTTGGCCTCAAGGGTTTCATGGTAGTCAAGAAGGAAAAAGATGTGAATATCGGGGAAGAATGACCCTTTACCTTGAAGAAAGACATACATAGAACCAGCATTCACTTTGCAGAAGGTTAAGTTAATGTAGAAACTAATGAATTTTTTAAACTGGATACAACATTTTAAACTGATAAAATACTAAAAAGTATGACAAATAGTCAGGATTGTTTTGAAGTAGAGTGAAAGAAAATAACATTTATACATAAGTGTGATGTAGGAGAGGGGGCAACATTTCAAATGTTCAACTATATCTAAGAATCATCTTTGAACATCCTTCATTTTTAGTTTCATGTTGGTTGAATGAGCTGCACTGCAATTGACTGGCCTATTTTTGTTTTTATATCCATGGGAAATATGCAAGAAAAACCTGACAACTTTGACATTTGGATCTACATGATACTCTTAACAATATGTCAAATGGCTGGGTCAATGTGTGCATGCCAGGAACTTTTACAGGGTTAAATTCAAAATTTAATGAAGTGACTTTATTGTTAATGCATGTTTTCAAGCTTGACATCAAAATTTAGTTTATAATTTATACTAGCAAAGACCCACAAAACATTTGTGGCTAAATTAGTATCTTTTTTGCAACAGTACTTCTTTAAATAAAGGATTTCTAGAGTAATACAAAATAATTCTTATCGCAGACACTGAAAGTCCACTTGTCTTAGTCCTAACATTAGTTAAGTCTTTATTAAGTACGGCCTATGTTTGATAAAGGGATAAATTAACACTAACTTGTATACATTTTTTGCTTTAGTGAAGTTAGGGCTAAACCTTACCACACTTAATACTATCAGTATATAATCTTCTAATGTTATTGTACGATCTAATGTTAGACCTTTTTGAAAATTTTGATAAGCTTTTAATATATTGTATAAAATGTCTACTAAAGTATGATTATGTCATTTCTGGCGTAATTCGATGATTTAACAAAGATATGTGTTCAAGTTGCGAAAAGGGTGCAATTTTTTGTACATATTAGTCCAAATATATCTTTAATTTTTGATCAATCATAGACTACTTGCTTCTAATTGACAGGAAGCCAAATTACTTAAGTTATTCAATAAGTTGCTATGACATCAGTGTGCATGACCAAGGGACAGACAGACAGATACACATCGTGTTTTATAGTACTAGATTATTTTCTCTATGTTTTAATTTCATCAGGATGTACTGAAATGAATTCTCATTCTCCATTTTTCTGTATCACATGATGCACTTGCTCGCTGAATTGCCCATTTTAGATTTTCTTTTTATCCTTACATGGTTTCCTGAGGTCCAGCTAATTGCATACATATACAATAGTTATTGACAAGCCAGAATATAAACTAATTGTATACATGTACAGTAGTTATTGACGAGCCAGAATATAAACTAATTACATACACGTACAGTAGTTATTGACAAGCCAGAATATAAGCTAATTACATACATGTACAGTAGTTATTGACAAGCCAGAATATAAACTAATTACATACACGTACAGTAGTTATTGACAAGCCATAATATAAACTAATTACAAATAACTACTGTACGTGTAGACAAGCCAGAATATAAACTAATTACGTACACGTACAGTAGTTATTGACAAGCCAGAATATAAACTAATTACGTACACGTACAGTAGTTATTGACAAGCCAGAATATAAACTAATTACATACAAATACAGTAGTTATTGACAAGCCAGAATATAAACTAATTACATACACGTACAGTAGTTATTGACAAGCCAGAATATAAACTAATTACATACATGTACAATAGTTATTGACAAGCCAGAATATAAACTAATTACATACATGTACAGTAGTTATTGAGAAGCCAGAATATAAACTAATTACAAATAACTACTGTACGTGTAGACAAGCCAGAATATAAACTTTTGATATTCATTTGGAAGGTCCTAGAGGTACTGCAAATTAAATATGACAACTGTAAGATGATAAGAGGCATTTTTATTGTAAGCAGGAAAATCACCTTCCGTTCAGATTGACATTTAAAAACTTAATAAATTTCATGAAGATTTATATATTAAATTTGTAATTATAGTAAACACTATTAGGTATAGCTTTCACTGAAGTGGGGCTGGTTGTACGGACTGATACCATGCACAGAGGGTTAACAAACTTGTCCAATTTCACCTTTATTTGCTGTACTGATTTGAGATGATGTTCTGAACTGCAGGACGTTTTTTTTATAGCCACCCTGTATATAAGAATATAACTAACTAACTAACTTATAAAATAGGTCACTAGTGGTGTAAAATATAATTATTTCACAGACTGATTTGTTTGTTGATGTATAAGAAGTTTAGAACGATAAATTTGATAATTGTAGTAAAATTATTCAAGAATTTTTGCAGATTTAAAACCCAACATGATTGTTAACACTTTTTTTTTTCATTTCAGAAGGTCGAACGAGATGAACTTTAATAAAATTTTATCAATAAATTCAAAATGAGATGAAGAGAGAAAGCTAAAGTGCTGGCTTGAATCTTTGTACAGTCTCATGCTGGAAAGGAACAGAATATTTTTCACATAAGACAGAGTGTGCATCTTGAGGAACTTGCTGTAGTGTAAATCCACAGGGAGTATATGATAAATGCAATAATCAAATAGTGTGTATTATGAATGACCTAAATCATTGTCACTGTTAAGCCAAAATATGTTATGGATTTTTCAAGATGCAGCATTACTAGTGTAAAATACATCCTTTGAGTTCATACTTAATGAGAACCAATCTTCTTTGCTAATTTAAAGGTTTAACATATTTGGAATTTAGATGAACTATCACTTTAACACAGGATTTAAAGAAAAGATATAAAATTAATTATTTATTGTTGATCAGTAACATTTCACATTTACTAATAGTTTAGGCATAGTAGGATTTGAGGTTTTTTTAATTATAAGGACAGAAAAAGATGCAATTAACTTTTAAGTACTGTTATAAAGCAGTGAATGGTTAATAAAAATGAAAACTGTTTTTATTGAGAGTTTAAGACATTATATATACAAGCTTAAACTCTCTCTATAGTCTAGAATTTTATTACTAATCTTAACAGCGTATCTATAAGTTACTAATATTTTGTTAATTATTCAGGTTTTGATCCATAGGATTTTTGAAAAGTGTATTAATGATCTGAATAGATATGCTAGTACTCTGATTTACTGACTATTATTTTATTAATTTTGTTTTAGATGTTCAACTCATTTATTCTGATCTATCTCTGAATTTTAATTTTGTTAGCTAGTAAAACAATTTCAACGTTTTTTGTGACTACTTTATGCCACAGGATATAGATTTTGTTTGTGAATGTTACTTTTTACATAACTTTAGCATTTCTCATGTGACTGTTTGAGGAAGCATGTTCAGCATGGCTCGTGTAAGATATCGGCAGTACTTGTGACTTGCTTTATTCAAATATTATTTCTGAAGTATTTTTGTGATTTTTGCTCTTGTGAAACAATTTTAATATTACTTACTTAACTTGTTTTTGGCACAGAATTTTTAAATTGTATTAATGTTGTAAATATAATTGAACTTAAACATTGTTTATGTGATTGGTGCTTTGATTATTGTTGTCAGAAAAGATCAGTATTATTTGTTGCCATATTCAATGACATGGTTTTAAAATGGTGTGACTGCTGTAAATTAAAAGTAATTTGAACATTACATATAATTGTTACAGATTTTTTTTCAATTTCACCAAAGGTAAAATTCAAAGGAGAATCTGTGATGTAAAGGCCTAATGTTTTCTTTGATTGGCTGTATCCTCTGCTGTGGACTGCAGTTTCGTTAATTGAAGGCTCATCAGCACAGCTTGGGTTGGCAACTCAAAGAAATACAGTTAGGCCTCTACCTCACAAGATTCTTCTTTCAATTTCATCAATGGTGAAATTGAAAATAAATCTGTAACACATATATATATGTGTGATCAATAAATAATTGTCCCGATATATAATGTGGAATAATGATTTAGGCACAAGTTCTAACATTATTCATATACTTAAATTATTTTAGATTATTGGTGATTGAAAAGGACTTAAAAAAGCACATTAATTTGAACATTGTATGATTATTTCTATAATGAAACAGAATTTCAATTATTGTTATGTGCCTGCTATTGTAAATGAAATAATATATCAACATTGTTTGACTTTGGTTTAAGGGAACACTACATGTATCAAAGCCAAACTTCAGCATGGTCTGTCGTTGTTGCTACAATGAAACAAAATTTCAACATTGTGTATGTGGCAGTTACATTAGATAAAAGAATACTTTTATTTTTCTGTGTGTGAGATGTGCTTCACATTTTGTTTTTTATTTGATGTAATATTGAAATTAGGAACTGTAAGATGCAAATATGCATTTTATGTAAGGAAACATATTGTTTGATGCAATGTTTGCGTGTAATCTCATGTAACCAATATATATTGATCTATGTATTTTTCTGAATTAATAGTGATTCAAGGATCTGTTATTTTTGTATGAAGCTTTTTATATACATTTGAATGACTACTTTATCACATATGTAAAGAGTGATATTAATGTGCAATTCATTTTTAGATCCATTTTTGTAAAGCAACACAGCAAGATTAAATTTTTTGCTAATAAACGTTTTCTAGAAATTTTAATTTCTTACAATATATTTAACGCAGTAACTAGTATTAGAGTGTATTAAAATCTTTGAACTATGAGACCCTTTCACTAAATGTAAAATAAAACTAACTATTCATCCACCTGCAGTGTTTACTATTATGTAGTTTACTGGGTATTTGTTGGAGTTAGGAAGTCTCTGTTGATATTATGTAAGGTACAGGAAGAGATTGTTGTCAGTGATGTTGGTTTGTATAAGAAGAGGTTGTAGTTAGAAACTTTGGGGTGCTGTTGAAGAGGGAGGACGTTGAAAAGGTAAGCTTATAGATATCTAAAAGTTATTTAATATTATTATTATTTGTAGTAATTTGGGTTAAATAACACCATAATAACTAGATATAATATGATTGGTAAACCAAAGTAAGATGGTAAAAGTTTTAAGTTAGAGTTTAGTGGTGTAAATTATTATTACAACGTTTTAACTTAAAATAGGCTTAGTACGCTTAACGGTACTGTTGCTTATCTGCTTGTTTGTTAATTTCCAGTAGAAATTCTTTCCGAGGAAC